AGACAAGAAAAAAAAAAAAACGTGGAAGCAAACTCAGGAGGTAAAAATTGCAATGACCCGGGACTGGCCCAACTCTGAGAAGTCTGTTTAGAATTCTTGCCTGCCCCAGTCCCAGCATGCTCCACTCCCCATAGCTGGACAGGCATTGTATGCATGCTCCCTGGAGAGTTTGTAGCAGGGTCTATGTCTGAGCTCAGGCACCTGGGTCCAGCTTCCCCAGGAAAGAGACTGGCCTTCCTGGTCTATGCTCCCACTCTTCAATAACTCCTGCTAGGGAGCCTACTTCCTCCATTACAGTTCTTTCAGGTGGCCTCCATGGAGAAGAGGAGGCATGTGCATCTGTTCCTAGCCCTGCAGATATCATCCTGTCCCCTACTCTGGCTAGTAATGAAGCACACCAGTCTGGGCACACAGGTTCTAGTTGCTACTAGTATGTGTATTATTAGCCCATATGCATGTGCCAAAACCTTCTACTCTGACACTATCCCTGTGTTTGCTGTGAATACACCCCTTGGCATCAGTCCATTTGTACACACATTTACACACGAGTGGGTGCATATGTATGTTTTGCCTATGTGTTCATTATGCCACCCATTTGGTGGCACGTGAGAAGACCCCTAGGACAAAAGGAAATCTGAGAACTCTGCCTCTCTCTCACTTGTGATGTGCTTTTGAGGAAGGCAGGCAACCCTCTGCCTCCCCATTTTTCCACATGTAAAGTCAAACCTTTTATTCAAGGATACCTTCAACACAGGGGTTGCACTGAAAGACTGGCCAAAGTCCCCAGCCATCCCTCTTTCCACATGCAAGGTCAAGGGCAACCTTCTCAGCTAAGTCAGAGTGCAAGGGAGAGCTGAGAAGTTGGCCCATACTGTCAAAGGAATGGCTTTTCTCCTGTGCAAAAAGGAATAAGAACTGATGGCCACCCCCAAGAAGCTACAACATCCCCTTCATGGAGAATGGTCCTCCCTGGGGTCTCTGACCTTCACTTACTGCATCTTTTAACTACCAGTCAAAGCTCCCCTCTACCCTGGCAACTTATCCTTGTTGGATTTTCTTACTGAGGGCAGTAGAGGGAGTGGAAGAGTCCTGAGGCATGTGGCATCCCAGTTGGCTTCATTTGTGGAAGCCCAAACACAGACCACAGGCAGTGGTAGGCATATACATATTCCCATAAACACCAGTTACCGGCAGTCTGAACCCATGGGCTCAAGCACCCAAAGCACCATCTTCTATCTCTCAACCTAAATAAGTATATCCATATATACACATCCCCCTATACAAATGCTCACAACCAGTACAGGTATGATGATGCATGGACATCTAAGAACACACAAACCCAAACATCATAATACCCTCTCTTAACACAAGCTCCATCTTCCATCCCCACCTATGGTTCCCCAGGATTCTGCCAAAGTAAAAAGAGTTTCCAAGGAAAACACAGAGACCTTTGCCCTCCAAAAGAGCCAAGAATCAATACTGTTTAGACTTGGCTAGTGTGAATTTCCTCACTGGCTGAGGAAGATTTAAGTTTATGGTTCAATCCAATCTTTAAGAGAGAAAAGAAAAAGAAAAAGGGGGGGAAAGGCAGAAAATGAGGAAGTTGGGATGCTGTGCGCAAGTATTTATCTTAACTTTAATACACCGGCAGCTCAATAAGCTAGCCCCATAAATCAGAGAAATCAATGCCTGTTTATGATCATTACTATTTTTTCTCTCTCTCTCTCTCTTTTTAGAAGGGGTACAAGAAAAAGGTCTAACCAGAGTCCTCCTCCCCTCTTCTCTGCTCCAATCAAGAAGGAAAATTGGAAAACGGGAGAAAAGGAGCAGGGGTAGAAAGATCATTTTGGACTGAGACTTTAGACCCTTGGCCAGATACTTGGGGTGTACTGAACAGACAGACACGGGCACCCAGGAAACAGAACAAAATGCTTAAGTTCCCAGAGCTTCCATTTCTTGCAGTAGATAATGAAGAAAATTCTATTCTATTAGAAGATAAAGGAAAATCAAATTACATAATAATCGTGCTCGACATCTATCACTCTAACAACACCCTCAGGAGGTGACCATCCCTCTCCCTAGGGAAGAGCTCTTTGCTCTGATCTCTCTGTAGAGGAACCTTAAAGAATGAGAACTTAGAGCTTCTCCATTGTCCCAGCCTCTGAACCTGGTGGGATAGGGAGCTTAGATACCCACAGTAGGGAAGAGAAGAATGAGGGTGGCCCAATTCCTCATCACTCAAAAGAGTAAAGTTTTCTGCGGAGCTGAGCATCCTTAGCCTTACCTCCAGATGTATTGGGGGGGGGGCAGGCCAGGAGAGGTGGGACTTGGGGAACCTTTCCTGACTTCTGAGAGTTTCAGATTAAAGCATGCCCAGGAGTCCCAGGTCTCAGACAGCTGAACCAGATGGACTGTAGGACTTGAAAATTCCAAGTTCTACTCCCCCAAGGGTAACAGTCCCTGCTTAGAGCCAGTAGAGAAGGACTCGATCCACTGCTTCTGTCTCTCTGCACACAAGGATTGTTTGTGCACCTATTATGTATGAGGGTACAAAAACAGTGAGACAGTGAAACAGACAGACAGATAGAGAGGCATAGATAGATGAAAAGTAGCTACTGCAATAAAGATAAGGACCTACAACAATGCCAAATATATCTTCTGGGTCCACTCCAGTGCACTAAACCCCAAGTTCCCAAAGCCTTGTGCAAGGACTTAGATTGGGGCCCTTAGGGGCTTGCTGGCTATGGAGCCTGGCACTGTCAGAAATGAGTGAAACATTGGTTCAAATTAGAGGAGACTATTTCAAGAAAAAAAAAAGTGGAGTTTCCATTTCTCACAAAAATCAATCCTACCAAAATAACAGGAAAGAAACCAGATGGAAAAGCACAGAGACAGAGTTGCCACGTATGCACGAATACTAAAAACACTCTTGACAAACATTCCAATGTGCAAACAAAAAATGAGCACATGCACACCCATGAGCTCACCAATGCCCATTTGAGCACCCAATCGCACAAAACAGCACCCATTTGCACAAAGTAAATGTTTTGTGTCAGAAAACACTTATAACTTAGACATTCTGTTATATGCGCTAAAGTGTGCACATCCCCCTATATGTACACTAAGAACATGTGGACATCTACCTAGCCACCTGCACACATCCATACACTAATACAATGCATACCTACTGAACAAGAGAGAAGAGCAAGGCAGAATTTATAATTGTTAGAAATCATAGACAAAGGGGAGGTGGTATTCCTGAAGAGTGAATTCCTTTCCTTCCTAACCCCTGAATATATCACCCTAGGACCTGCCTACATGACCAGCAAGAAACCAGACATTTCCAGTTGGGACTTCCAGGTGCCCAGATAGTCCTGAGGATTTCTGTACATATCCTCCTCCTGAGTGAAGAAGTAAGCCAGGCTTTGTTGGGGTTCCGAAGCGGCCCCATGCCCACTTTGGGATTCTAGGCCCAAAGCAGAACCAAGCAGTGCTACTCAGTACCGCTCTCCAGGTCTTTTGGCCTTCTCCTTCTTGGCTTTGTAGGAGTATGAGAATAGAGGCCAGTGAGCCCTGCTGTGCCACCCAGGCCCCGCGGCTTGCAAACGCAATTATTCCCCCAAACCTAGAGGTGAATTTGAAGCCACAGCAGCTCAGCCAAAGCTCCTTTTAACTAGCCAGCCACTCAACCCCCGGATTCACACAGCCCTCTACCATGGCCCCTCCTGGAAAGGCCTTCTGTCTTTGGAGGAGAAAAACCTCTAGCAAAAGCCGCACCAAAGGAAAAGAAGAAAATGAAGGGTGGAGGCTGGTGGGAAGGGGGACAGGTTGAAAAGTGGGAAACTCGGTTGTCTGGGCCAGACAACCTCATAAAGAGATCAACCCACAAGCCAGCCAAATCTGAAGTCAGAAACGGACTTGCCGGCCTTTGGGTTCCCCTGAACACAATCAGACACCAGGCTTTCCCACCAGACCCTCCAGACCGAGGCCAAACCCAAATCTGCGCAGCCTCGGCCACTACCCCTCTCCTCTGGCCTCCCCAACCTTTAATGGGCCTGAAATTTTAATGCCCCCATCAAGACACCCAAATTCTGCATGCAGTGTAGGGCCCCCAAGAGTGCCCGGCCCACGCCCTTCCCAAGCCCCGAAAAGAGGAGGGCTGCCAGCCGCTCGTAAGCACAGTGTACACTTTATTTCAGACTACAGGTTTCTGAACATAATAAAATCTTTGGCTTGTAGCGGCGGTTCAGTCTCGCAGTCTGTGGGGTCGTATTTCTCAACGAGTCTCCAGAAAACGAAAGAGGGGAAGGCAGGACAGACAGACAGACAGACAGACAGAAGGATCCTGGGAGTTTTGAGGAGAAGGAAAGGGCAGACACGGGAGGAAACACACTCTCACGCACACAAAGAAAGAAAAAAAAAAGTCCCAGAGAAATGAGAGCCAGCGATGCGGAGCGGGAGAAGCAAAAATATTCAAGAGGAGGGGGGGGGAAATGCAAAGAAAACGAAACTGGGTCGAGGGTCAGTGAGGCAGGGACAGGGAAGGGGGGGATAAAATAATTATAATAATTATAATAATTATAACAATAATAATAAAGGAGATTAATAAAAACGTCCAGCAAATAGAGATCGCTACACATATTTGTTTTCCTTACCTGAAATTAAATATATACAAGGTGGTAAGCAGTTTGGCTAGATAGAGCTTTAAGGAGATCGCAGTTTCGTCCCTTATACTGTGAATAAAGAATAGATCCTATTTTTTTTTTCATAGCACCTGTCCGAGTCTCCCTTTTCCAAAACCTTTCCTTCCGATGTGACTGTCCATTCTGCGGATCTCTTTCTCTCTCTCTCTCTCAGTCTCTTCTTGTTGCTTCCTCTCTCTTTTGCTCTTATGATTTTTCCCGGGGCCTGGGGCCGGCGAGGCGGCGGCGGCGGCGGCGGCGGTGCCAGGAGGGGGCGCGGGCGCCACGGCCCGCCCGACCGCTCTCGGCCCCGACCGGCTACTCGCTCTCGTCTTTGTCCTGGACCGTGGTGGTGGAGTGGTTGTACAGTCCCTGGGCCATGAGGTGCAGCGCCAGGCCGTTCTTAATGCCCGTGGCTTTCTTGATCTTGGCGCGCTTGTTCTGGAACCAGATCTTGATCTGCGACTCGTTGAGGCTGAGCTCCTGGGCCAGGGTCTGCCGCCGCTGCTCGGTGATGTAGCGGTTCGCCTGGAACTCCGCCTTGAGTCTCTGCAGCTGCTCGGCCGTGAACGCCGTCCTCGGCCGCTTGTCCTCCTTCTCGTTCTTCTTCTTCTTCAGCTTCCTGGTGCGCGGACCTGCAGCGGCGGGGAAGTCCGGGAGAGGGGGTGGGGACCGAGGGCAAAAAGGGGGTGGGGGTGGGGAGAGGGCAGAGGAAACCGTGAGAATGGCAGTGTCGGCCGGACTTCGCGCCCCAAGCTTCCGGGGTGATCGCGGTAGGCCCTGCGGGGGGGAGGGAGGGGGAAGGGGGAATTCCCCAGCTCCCTTCTTGCATCAAAGAGCCCCTGACTGGGCCACTGGGGTCTCTGCTTCCCATCTGCGGAATAGGCAAAGAAGCCGCAGAGGAGGAAAACTGGCCGAAGATATGGGTACATCCGCACTCCAATTCAAGGAGAACGGGGAACAGACTTAAATCACAGTGATTCCCAGCCAAGAAGGTGGGAATCCAAGATTAAGAGTTTGGAGTCCCATTAGGCCTAGCCTGGAGTTGAAAGTGGTAGCCCTCTTCTTCCTACCCTGGGAATTCAGAAAGAAGAATGGTGGGGACGGGCCCTGAGGAAACGCGCGCAGCTGCTCTGCAAACTGGCTCCCCCTTAGTTCTCAAGAAGCTAGCTACCCATATCCAGAAGCCTGTCATAGCCCACAGAAGGGACAGGGAGGGGGCTCTACGAGAAAGTGGCCGGCTCCAAAGAATTTAGTATCTGCTCTTCCTACCATCTCTTTCTCTCTGGCCTAAAGGAAGCCCTTTCTAGAGCATTGCCTCTTTTCTAAAAGGGAAGAAGAGACCTTCACTCGGCTGCAGGTTCTGTCCCATAATCTGGGCTTTGCTTCTTGGATGGTATCAGTGAGGAAAATGAGGCCCTTCCCAGCTGCCCATGCCAGACTTGCTATCTCTCCTTTGAACAGGCTCTGTCATTTCAGGCTGGGAAACTGAACAACAGAAACAAACCAAGTCTAGCTTTCTCTTTCTACCCATAGCATTAGCAAGACTACATCCTACTCCCTTTCCATAAGCAAAACAAGAACAGAGGACGGTGACATGGACCACAGAAATCTGTACTGTGGTCTTGAATGCTATGCCCAAAGAAGGGCTGCCTTGGGGTCCAACCCTGGAGAGAGAATGGAGGGCATGGAGCGATCCAAGAGAGGATTCAATTGTTGGTCTGTGCATTGAAAGGCTGAGCGGGTGTCTTGGCTTCCATGCCCATGTCTCTGGCATTGACTTACTGGGCCTTGTCTCCACTACAAAAGCCTATGGAGTCAGGTCCCTATCATGTGGGCGATTTATCAAAAGCTGTCTAGCAAGAAGGGTCTTTGCTGGCATCTCTAAATCCAGCAACAGAGGGTAAGATGGGTAACTGGATCCTGAAGGCAGGCCTGGGCCGGGGCCACCAGCTGTCTATGACAAAGGCTCCAGGTTTAGCACACTGCAGCAACTCAGATCTGGATTGGGGTGCATTCCCCTGAACTTCCCATTCAGGAGAAAGATCTGGTCTCCAGGCCTACAAGAAGGAAATCATCCAGGAACAAAGACAAGGCCCACTCTAGGGCAGGACTGGGGTTTAGATGAGTCATTGACTGAGCTGGCAGAGATGGCCCAGGAAATGTGAACATCCACAGAAAGGGCCGGCTACGCCTTGAGAGTTTGGGGCATGTTGGAGTGGTGTTGTGCGTGCGCGCGCGGAGGCACGGACACTTGTAATAAAATCGTAGCCTCCTGGCCAGCCCGAGCTGCGCAGCCTGACAGCTCAATCACTCTATCCATCAGGCTAGTCAATCAAAGCAGCTTTTCGGAGGTTCAGGGAGCCCGACGTGTCAATAACGGGGCTCGAGATGGCGGGGGCTGATAGCGCACATCGATCTGCGCTTGGCCCGCAGCAGCAAGGCAGCCAGAGACCAGGCAGGAAGAAGGCCTTACGTGGCTGCTCGCGGTGCCCGGCCCTCCGGTGGACCTCGGCTCCCGAGTCCTGATCAGTTACTGGATCAAGCCCCTGCTGCTTTTCCAGCGATCCCAGCTGGTCTCCCGCGCTCTCCCAGCCGGAGAGTCCTGCAGGCCTTGCTCCCTCTCTCTGGGCAGTTCTTGGACTTGGGTTTGCCAGGCTCGACGGGCACACAGATCAAGAGTAGTAGAAAAGCTGAGAAAAACCGGCCTTTGGCTGGCAGTAATCTACTAACTGGCAGATGTGTGGAAGGAAAAAAAGACAGAGGGAAAGAGCAGGGCCGCTGGGCCATGGAAATCCCACATGGAAGCAGCTTAGGAGAAGGCTGGCTCACCTGCCCTTTGCCCTGCCGAGCCTAACCTGCTTTCTTTCCTCTCCCACATTTCCAGCTTCAGAGAGAACGGGCACCTAGGGCACTCGCCTTTCTGGCACTACCTCTTTTCCGAATTAGATCAAGCTGCAACCTACTCTGTTGCAAGAAGGTTAGAAGAGGAGAAGGGCGTTAAACCCCCACCCCTCCTCATCCTGTATGCCCCCCTATTTGTTTCTATGTAAATGGAATCACTACAGAAAATATAAAGATAATGTTTGTCTGTAAGAACACAAGAGGAAGATGATTATTTTGGCCCTAACCTGCCTAAGATTAAAGCCGGCCTCCACATGATCAGGCTGGTGGATTTCAAACCCAGGTTGCTAGGCCTACCATCTGGCCAGCTTCTAAATATCTTTTTTTTCTTTTTTTGCAGAAGAAAAATAAATTAAGCTTATATCTTTCGTAATATTGATAAACGTAAAACACAAAGAAGCCTCCACGGGCTCCAAGTTCAAAAAAGCAAAAGACCGCGCCTCAAGCCTCCTAGCTCAGGAATTGTTAACTTCTGAGAAGTGGCTACAGAAACCAGGATCGCAAGAGTGGATTATTCATTCAGTTTAGGCTGGAACCGGGGGAGGGGAGGCGGTGTGAGAAGAAGAAAACAGGCCGGAGAGGTGGGAGCCCTTGAAGCTGGGTTTGTTGTGCCCAGCGCGGCGGCTTGGAGATCTGAGGGCGGCCGCCCAGCGGGAAGGCACCGGGCGGCCCCGGCGTGGGTACTCACCGGAGGACGGGCGGTCCGAGTAGCGCGTGCAGTAGACCCAGGCGGGCCAGACCAGGGGCTGCTGCGAGTCAGTTTTGACCACGGGCCCGCCGTTGGCGGATCCCATGAGTAGGATGGCCGGGTTGCCGTGCTCCGGGTACTTGGCGCCCTGCGCGCCGGGGCTCCCCGCGCTGCCTCCACTGCCACCGCCGCTGTCCGAGGGTTTAGCTGCCGCCGCCGCCGCCGCCGCCGCCGCTGCCACGGCCGCTGCCGCCGCCGCTGCCGCCGCCGCCGCCGCGGGATTCCCGGCTTTCGAGGAGGCCGCGCCGGCGACGGTGGCCGGCTGGGAGCCGTCGGGTGGGCCACAGTTCGCGTCCGGGGCGCATAGGAGCGAGGCAGTGCCTGGCGCCCGCGTGCCCAAGGGGTGGACTGGGTCTCTACCTGCGCCATTCTGGCCTCTGTCGCGCTCGATCTGGCTTCCTCGTCCTCCTCCTCCTCCACCACCACCTCCTCCTCCTCCACCTCCTCCTCCTCCTCCTCCTCCGGTACCTCCTCCTCCGCCTGCCGCCGCCACCAGGAGCTGCGGCGGCGGCGGCTCCTTTTTGCAGCCGAAATCCGGCCTCAGGATGTTGTCGATGAAAAAGTTGGTGGTGCGGTGCAGCTGGGCCCCGGGCTGCGGCTGGTGAGCGGGCGCCGCGAGATGCTGCGGCTGCGGTGGCGGCGGCGGCGGGGGCGGGGGGTGCGGGGGGAGGTGCGGGTGGTGGGCCAGGGGCGGCAGGCAGGGCGCCGCGGGCGGCGAGGGGGGCGCGGGCTGCGGGGACACGGGCACGCTGTCTCCATCACTGCTGCTGCTGCCGCTGGCGCCGGGACTGAGGCTCAGGCTGAGGCCGCCCGGGGCCGCCGCAGCCGCCGCCGCCGCCGCCGCGCTGAGGCCGGAGTCGCGCTGACTTTTAGGTTCCGGCTGCTGTTCTTCCATGGTCGGCCGCCCCGCCGGCCCGGCCGCCGCGCCGGCCCCCGCCCCCCCGGCCTCGCTCCCCACCCCACTTTGCCAGCGGCCCGTGGGGGTGTGCGGAGGAAGGAGGCCGGCAAAAGCCTCGGCGAAGGCACGGGGCGGGTGCAGGAAGAAAAAAAAAAGAGAGAGAGAGAGCCCAGGCGTCTGGCCTGGATCGCTCGGTCTTATCGAGCAGCTAGATCTCGCTGTCTCTCCCTCTCTTAATTTGTAGACATCCAGATATAGAGACACTTGGCTATTTCTTTTTTTCTCTCTGCAATCAGATGCAATGGTTTGTTTCAAATGGGTAATAAGCCACGGCCAAAGAAGAAGAAGGAAAAAAAAAAAAGGAAAGAAAGGAAAAAAAAAAGCTCCCAAGAATTTTTTTTTCTTAAAGGGAAAAAATAGTCTTTAAAGTCTAGCCATCTTCCTAGGCAGGAGTGAGGGGTTTGACTTCCCGGGGTGTCACGCTCAGCTGTGCCCAGAGCGCGAGGCTGGCAGCGCCTTTCATCGCCTTTGCTTGTTTTTGCAGGGAGAGCGCGTCTCCGCCAGCGCCGGGCTGCTTTTTTCCCCCCTCAAATCTCTGACAGCTCGGATCTTTGCACAAACTCTCGCTTAAAAAAAAAATCACCCAGGCACACTTTTTGCCTTCAAACCGGAAGCACGTGAGCCAGGGCCGCACGTGTGCGGGGCCAATGGCGAGACGCGACTCGCGCTGACATTCGCGGCTCGGCCCAATGGGTGCGCGCGGGACTTTGCGGATAAATAATCCGGGGGCGGCGGCCGCGGTTGGAGAGGGGGTGCCTTAGCTTGGGCCCGGTGCGTCTGGTCCGCCCCCCCCCCCCCCGACTCCATACCCACGCCCTCCCTCCTCCTTCAGATCGGGACTGAGGATGAGGAGAAGAGACCAAGGAGGGGTGGATTTCATAAACAACTTGTTGGGGAAATGTAGGAGAATGGATGCGTGAGCGCTGACACTTGGACTGGGTCAGGAGGCAGAGGCTTGGGTTCTTTTGCACTCCTATGCCTGAGAAACTCAGTGTCTCCTGTCTCTCTGTCTCTGTCTGTCGGATTGTCTGTCTCTCTATTACACATATATATTTCTGCTGTTAAGGGAGAAAGCTTGTCATTGCCTGTGTATGTGTGTGCGGGCGTGTGCACGCCTTGTGGAATAGGCCTGTGATGTGAAATAGACCCAGAGTTGGCTACTTTCAGAGGTGCACTTTGGCTATCACTGCAATTGAGAAGTCTCACTCTGTTCTTTCTGACAGATCCGCATCCATATCCTTCCCTGTTCAATCCTTCAACACTGGGGAGCTGATCTGGTGCCATAGAGGCAGGCCCAGAGGGTGAAGAAGAGCCGAGAGCAGGCAAACTTCCTTTCCTGGCGTCCGGAGTCCAGACTCTCTTACTGTGTAGAGATGTCCCGGGAAGGCCACTGGCTATGAAGTATCAGAATGCCTATGGGTACTAGGCCTGTGTTTCAAGTTCCTCCCTGTTTGATTTCCCTGCAAAGTAAAAATCAAATAAATAAATAAAAGCGCTGAGCTCTTTTGTGTGGGGGGTGGAGGAGGGAATCCTGGCCATCCAAAGATGTGGGAGAATCCCCTAGTTTCTGGGTAATTTAATTGCTTTCGATTGCATCAAACTCCCACGATGTCTTTAGAGATTACGGTGCCTCCCGCTGCGCCCATGTTTGGGTCTTTTGAGCTCATCTTAAAAGTTTTCCCTACCTAGGGATGGGGAGGCCGGGTAGGGTGGTTGAGGATCTTGGCTCTGGTAAGGTTTATTATGGGGCTGTTTGGAGGGCTAGGGCTAGGACTGTCGGCTAAAGCCTACAGTGGCTGAGAAAGGCACGAAAGTCTCCAGCAGACAAGGCCTTGGCACAGATGCCTTACTGGAAATCCAGTGAACCAGTGCTCCCCTTGAGCACCATCTTTGAACTCACATCAGGAAAGGATCCCTTGAAAGAGATTGCCATTTGTGTGTGGGGGGGCATATGAATAAAGCTCCCTACCCTCAACCTTCCAAAACACCCAGCCCAGTTAGGGTTAGGTTCGTAGGAACATACAAATAAAAACAGGAAAAACCCAGTTACCGCAGTAACTGAAGTTTCTCCAAGAGGGGGGTGGGGGGAGCTGGTGGAAGACAAGAAATCTTATTACTCAATGTAGCTTGAGGATTGCAGGCTTTTCTGATTTGGGGACTCGGTTCGTAACTACACCTGCGCACTGGACAGGAAGAGAACCTCTCCCCGAGTGCTGCACTGGGCAGGCCCACCGCTGGTCCCTTAACTTGCCCAAGCCACTCCCAGACCCGTCCTGGAGTCTTCCAGGTCCCCTTTGGCCTCACACCCAAAGACTCCCCGAAATCTCCAGGTGCCCCCACTCTCTTCTGAAATGGGGGGTGGAGTCTTATTTATATTTAAGTTCACAAAATTGAAATCTTTATCCCGCAAGCGAGCGTGGGTACTTAATTAAATTCTAATTAGGACACTATCAATATCCTATTTAGCCGCGTAGCTTTTGTGCGCCGCGGTCCCTTTCAGCGCGGTAAATAGGGTCTCGACGCCTTATCTCCCCTGCAGGAGACGCCGTGAGAAGGGCTGCGGAAGATAATTTATAGGTTTTAATTACTCTTCATTCCGCCTGATCAGCTTGGCGTTCATCACAGGCCTGTGAATAAAACCCTGGTCAAAAGCTCTGTCACATCGCGCTGGCAAGACGCTTAATCAAAGTGAGCGGCCCCGCGCGCCGCGCGGCCCGGCTCCTCCACGTAATTTCCAGCCAGCTGATAAAGCCAGCTGAATAATGCGGCGGCCCTTTGGAGACACCATTTACAGAAATGACTTTATTGACGGCTTAACGTCGGTAATTCATTTTACCTTTCATGTAGTGGAGCCCGGATTTGTTACAGTAATGGGATGATAAATGCACCCGCGGCCCACGAGCTCGGGCTGGATTAGGCGACGCTCCGTGCGCGCGTTGGCTTGTCCCCCCCCCTCCACCTTTTCCTAGGCCCAGCTTGGGCCGAATGCACTGTACCCCACTCAGTCTGCGCTACACGACCCCCGCCTAGGTTCTATGCCTCCTCTTCCTCCTCATACTGAACATACTATTGGGATATGAGCGTGTTGGCGTCCTAGCAAGCCTTGGAGTGAGGTGTGTGCCGGCTCAGGGATGAATGAGCAAATTGGCTAAGACGTGTGTGTGTGTGTGTGTGTGTGTGTGTGTGTGTGTGTGTGTGTGTGTGTGTGTGTGTGTGAAAGAGAGGTCCAGGGAACTGTGAGCCCAGAGCTGGGCATGTGGGTGAGAAGCTGGGGGCAGAGTGATCTTTGTGTACAAGCATGTGGGTAAAAGGGTTTGAGAGAACTGTGAAACGGAGAGTACAGTGGTGCGCGGATCTCTTCCAGAGTGCTCCTTTCTGCTTTTGGCAGTTAAGGAATTTTTTTCCAACCTGATAGACACCCAAGGCAGGGTGGTAGGGTGGGGAGGCTGATGGAAGCAGGTGAGGGAGGCTGTCCCAAGTGGAGTGTAACCCCCCCCCCCCAGAAGCCATCTGTTCCTAGGCCAATGGGCTCAGAAGACAGAGGAGCCCAATATCTATTCATATTCTTTGTAATTCTGAGTTGTGCAGTTACCTGAGCCATGTCTCAGGAATTGATTGTCCCCAGGTTACCTTTCCGTAGCCAGCCAGATAAAAGTAGAAAATGACAAGAGAGCAAACGATTTTGTTTTGTTCTAAATGCAAAAAGTGAAGGGGAGCCTTCTTCCTCTTTGAAAGAGGGGGTGGGGCTCAAAATGCTGTCAGTGCTCAGGAGTGATGTCAAGATAACTATGCTCAGATAGTAGAGAGCTCCAACACTCAGCCCCTCTCATCTCTAGACTTCCTACATAGTTGGAGGCTAATCTAGAGCTGTCACAGGGCTTGGGACACCGGGCCAATCAGAGAAACAGTGGGCATGTATTTGGGGAGAGGGGCTGCTAGAGAAGTTTGAGGATCATCTAATATGAAGACCTATAAATTTTCTAGGAGTAAAGCCTTAGAAATTTTTCCTTTCCCCTGCCCTTTTCCCATCTTGTAAAACCTACTTAGTAATCTTGGAGACTTGAGAAACAGAACTTTCGATGGCGGGGAAGGGGAGGGAATCTCTTAAGAGCTTTGTGTGTCTGTGTATAATTGTGTGCTGGTGGCAGGAAACCCTCCTGTGTGCATAATAGTGTGTATGTGAAAGTGTTTGATGAGATTTTGCTGTGTTCTTTCCTTAAGTGAAATTTCCCACTACCCAGTGCTTCGGAGGAATTTCAAATTTCGTTGAGGCAGACACATGTTGGGTCCTGTGAGTTTCCAACTCTCCTTGGAGGATGGGCATGAGGGGGAGAATTGTGAAATTTGATGAAAACCCTGCAGCTTGGCCTGACGTGTGCTCCACTGGCCGAGAGTAGGAGCGTGTTGCCTGCACACGGTGGTAATCGCATTTCGAGTGTAGATCAGATGGCAGTGGGGCCTCGTGGTGCGGGACATGAATGAGTTGTCGGAATACAATAGCTTGCAGCCTTCCTACGGGGACTGGGTGACCAGCGGTTTTGTTGGGAGTGAATGCGAGGAGATTTCTTCTACAAGTGCCGCGGTATTATTATGAGCCTGAAGGTCAGACTATACATCGCAGGTCCCCAAAGCCTATAGACCTTGGGAAATGTGGGGCCTCGAGCCCCGTCATTGTACCTGACAGTCCTTTCAATAGACTAATTCAATTAACGCTTAGGGTTTCGGTCTTCATTTGAAGGCGATAATAATGTGAGGGGTGGGTAGGTGCTGGGGGGGATTCGTTGGGGTTTTGGTTAGGGATCCGAAGCAGTTCTGCTTGGAGCTAGGAGTGGGGTAGACAAGCTGAGAAATAGAATTAAGCTAGTGGGGTAGATGCGGGTGGGAGCGAGGTACACCTTAGAAAATAAACCGTTCTGTGGACTCCTGAAATAGGGTTA